GCACCCTCTGGGGCAGGACAGGTTCTGCCAGAGGATAGGACCCCCACATGGTGCGCCTGCAGCCTCCTGAGCTCTGGGAAAAAGGAGAAGTCCTGGGACTGTGGCTCTGCACCCACCTCTGCCACACTCCTAGGACCTCAGACAGACATTCATCAGGATGGCCTGGGCACCAAGACTAGAGTGGCAAGGATGACACCCCAAATGCACTGACCAGGCACAGAAGGTCACATGGGCAACTCACCACCTTGCAGCCGGGGTTCTGGCAAGGGGCTCCAGTTCTCATCTCTGCGACGGCCTCCGCTGCAGTCAACATACACAGTAGAGATCTTCACTCCCCAGGCTCAAGACAATCATCCCAGACCTCTGCCCACTGCCCCCAACTGCAGCTGCTGTTCCTAGGAGCTCACACCACTGCCCTTGCCCTGCATCCCTGCTCACATCCCTCTCCCACCTCCCCACTAGCCTGGAGGCTGTATGCATGGCACATGCAGCCTGAGAGTTGTGGGTCCTCTGTGCTTCCTGCAATGCACAGCCCCACAGCACCTTGTCAGACCCAGTTCCACCTTCTCACCCTGGCATGAGGAGCCCCCCTTCGGGGGCTGGTCTTCAGAGGCTAGATTCAGTTTCTCCAACACCTGCTCCAGAGACCTGGACACTTTAATTGGCAGCTGCTGTCTCAGCTCATCAGAGCTGCAAAAGAAATGCAGCATAAAGAGGCTGTTTTTAATGCCATGCTGAGGCCAGCTGCGCCCATCCCTGCCCAGAGGTAGCAGGGGCAGATGCTCCCTGCAAACCTTCTTGGGCAAGGAGCCAACTGGTTCACCTGGGCCTCTCCCGCTGCATCTTCTCTGCCGACTTTGGTCCTTGGACAATGAGCTCCCTGCCTAGCTTGGCCACCAGCTTGTCAGAGGTCTCCACTTGGCTGAAGGGCTCAGGAGGCTTCTCACTGCTGTGACAGCCCTTGGTACAGCCCTGAAGGGAAGTGACAGAGAAAAGCCTGATGCATGTTTTGACCCCCTCACCCTGAAGCTTGTGGCCAGGCTGCTCCTGAAGCCCCCCCGAGCCCAGTAGCCAGGACATGCATCTTACTAATGCTGTCCCTGACCGGCCTGGCAAGGAACACAGAGCACACCAGTCAGACCCGCTTCAGGCCCAAGCCATTGGACCCAGATGCCTCTCAACAGGCTAGTTCTAGAGCAAAAAGAGCTTCTGGAGCTTGCTGTAGGGTGAAGTATGTACCAGGTGACCAGAAGAGGAGAAGCTGCAGTAATTAAGAGAGGAGACACAGGACTTGCATAGGAGGACAGGCAATTTGGACATGCTGTGAAGGAAGATTGGGGCCTGCCAGGGAGAAGGAAGCAAAGGCAGATCCCAAGCACAAGCCTCCTAAGTAGGACGGGAGGCACAACGGCCAACAGAAATAAAGAAGCAGAGTCTGGGACTAAAGGAAAGCAGTTTGTTCCAGCCATGCTGAATCCAGATGAAGTCACCCAGGAGACTGAGAGGCAGGATTGGCCAGAGTTGACAGGTACATGCCTGGCACTCCATGTGGAGGGCTCCTTACGACGAGGCCAGGAAAATTCCTGCTAGGGGAGGGGACCCAAACAGAGGCCTCCCTTTATGTTGCCCTGTCAAAATGAAGATGTGCACCACACCCCTGCAGGCAGAGGGATTTCCCTGGTGGTTGCATGCCTGGGAAGGGGAGGCAGAAAGAGCAGGGAAGCTGAGAAAAAAAGAGGCATGGAAGAAACAGGCATGGCCTGAACAAGAACGTGGAGTATGGCCCTGTGGGCACAGCACTGGCTCCAAGAGGCTTGAGACTGAGAAAGCAACTGTTTGATTCTTTCTACGTTGAGGGAACCTGAATTCTGCATGTTCTTTCTAAAGCAGTGGGACTACAAAGACAGGCCCAACTCAATCCACTTGTGACACCTCAAATCTGTTTCAGATTCCATGATGCACCACATGGGCCCAGACCCTGATCCCTGTTCCACATCTCTGCTTTCTGTTCACAGATAATCACTGCTTTGCCAGTGGATTTAGGTATTTGTTTCTCTCCCGATGGGCAGTGGCTACAAACAGCAGAGACTTGCACCCTGCTGCTGCAATCAGGTTATATGACAGATGCCCTCACAGCTTGGGGCCCCTCACCCTGTCAGATGAGCTTGGTACCAGCTGCTCCACAGCACCAGGTGCTTACAGAGGTCCTGGGGTGGAGGACAGGTAGTGCCATCCTCCAGTGACTCCCTATTTATCCAGCTGGACTGGCCTGGAATAGGGAAGGGATGTTAGACATAGGGCCCATGAGCTGGATGCAGCCTGTGAGGCAGGGTCATCTGGCCCATGGACTTTTCTGCTGCTCTTGTCATGGTGGCAGAGCTTCAGCCCCTGGTGCTGTTGGAGCTGCTCACTGTAGCTCTCACAAGGGTATTGACTGCCACTGTGGGAAGCTTGCCACTGTAGCCAGAGCTCTGGCCACTGTAGCAGGGCTTCTTCCCATGATACTGCTGGGGCTGCCCACATGAAATCCCAGCTGTGGCCCACAGGCACCTGAAAAGCAGTGAATGTAGCTGTCCAATGGAACTGAGTTTGATGCTCCAGCAACTGGGGAAGCGGGACAGGCAGAGCTGGGCTCAAGCAGACAGAGGATTTGAGGGTTTTGTTTCTGGGGACAGACAAATCAGCTGTCTAAACCAGACAGGGAGATGTCACATACCTTAATGGAAAGGAATTCTGAGAAGTCAGTGGTTCTTTTCTTGCAACAAGACCAGCCCTGCACACAAGGGGAACACACACAGGATCAGGTGTTGAATGCCCCAGGGGGCTCCAAATTGTGTGCACCAACACCCACTGTGTGCCCGGCAGCCCCTTCCTTGGACCTGTGCCCCATGGGGTGTTCCCAGCACACGCAGCTCAGGCCAGCAGCTGCCTCACTCACCTTCAGGGCATCGTGGAATATGGGGACGCCTGGGTGGTACACACAGGAACCTATGAGCAGAGATGAAGCAATCAGCATTTCACAGGGAATCCTGGCAAGGCCCAGAAATCCCAGTGCTCCTGCCCAGCTCCCCCAGTGCCTCCTGCCAGGTTCCAAACACCTGGGAACTGCCCCACAGCCAACACTCCAGCCTCACTCCTGGCACTACCTGCTGCTGAGACAGCAGGAAGGATCAGTCGCAGCTATCCCCCCACCTCCGGTGCCTCTAACAGGCAGCGCGGGGAACTGTGTATTTTACATTCCACTTGTCTTGAAGCCCGTACCAGCCCAGCAAGACACTTGTTTCCCTAGCACTGGACTATCAGATTCCACTATGCATCACTTGCTCCCTCTGCTGCTTCCCTTGACCTGTTGGTCCAGGCAGGCAGATTATTTGGGGACTGGTGTTCCTCCTTCTCATGTCTACATTTTGGCCCTAACAGGAAGGTCCTTCTGAGCAGTCACTGCCCTTGCAGACACCCCTGACTTTCCTTCCTTCCAGCCCCAGGGACCAAAGGGATTGCTCGAGGCCTCAGGAAAACCAACCCAGGCTGGAAAGGGGTCTATAAGGAAGAATTTACCTGGCATCCACCAACCACATCCAGCCCACAGATGCACACAACAGAGACCCTCCCCTGGCCAAAAGGGGACCTGGCCCTGGAAAAGGCACCAAAGTAGTAGTGACCCGGGAAAATACTTCCAGAGATAGCTGGGAGCAGGGGCAGGTCATTTATGGTCTGGCCAAGAACCCCAGGTTACCATAATGGCACCCTGCGGTTAACATCAGGCTTCTCTCCACACGCAGTTCAGTGGTGGGGCTTAGACAGCAACAGGTCATGCAAATCCCATTCTACAGTTGGAAATGGCTGTTTTGCCACAGGCAGCTGACCTGACATCAGCTGGGCCCCAGCTCACCAAGTTCCAGAAACCCCAATGGTTTAGCTTCCGTTACCTGGAGCAAGGCAAAGGGACCTCTGGAACAAGCAGAGGGAAAAGGGCATAAATCTCAGCTCGCCTAACGCCTGCAAAACAAATCCACTTACCCTGGGAGTTCTTATCCAGGTCAAACCTTTGCCCACAGCCCTTGTTGTAACACAGCAAAGCCATTTCTGTGGGTCACACACAAGGATCTCAACTCCTGCCCAGGGGCTGAAATGACTGCAAATCACATCCCCGCCTCCAGCAGCAATTAACTGAAACTGATTGTTCACTACCCAGCATCTGTGGCGAAGCTTCCAGCAAAGCAGAGAGGGGGGAGGAGAAAGGGGATTTGTCTATCTTTAGAGGCAGCCCCGGGCGGAGGGGGGTCTTTGGCAACCAGAGAGCAGCCCAAAGATGGGCATGCAGGCTCAGCAGCTGGCTGGACCTGTCTGTCACTCTGTCTAAGCAGGCATTTCTGTTCTGCCTCCCCATCCAGAAAGCAGAGAGACAGAGCAGCAACAGAAGGGGAAAGGAACACCACCAACCTGAGGAGGAGGCCAAATTTATCACCTGACTTCTGTGCCTCTATGCAAGGCACAAACCTCAGCCAGGAGCCTGCAGTGAAACCAGGCTCAGCAGGATGCCTTCCCAGCTTTCCTTGCTGCATGCAACGACTCCAGGCTGTTCACTCTGCTTACAGCCACATGGCTGCTCCAGCAACCAGCTCATCAGACCTCTGCAAAACCAAGTGGGCTTTCATTCCTGCCTCACCATCTGCTTCAAAGATCTTTGCCTGAAAGTACAGCTGTGAGTCTACGGAGGAATCTGGCCAGGCCATCTCTGAATACCAGCCATACAAAGGGGCTGGTGTCCAGAGGTGCACGCTGCAGTACAGGATGCTGCATGGAGAACACCCCTACTAACTATCCGGACAGACTCGCAAAGGACCAACCCGCAGGCTTACTTCAGATGCTGGCGCTTGGACAGCACCCATGGTTATATTTACATTTTCTAATTGCATCTTTCTCTAATTCCTCACCACGGCAGGGAGGGGCAGGTTTCTGAGACAATAAACTAATGCAGTGGTTCCCAACCTCTGTAGACTCAAGGCACCCCTCTGTTAGACTCCAGATACCCTAGAAAAATGCCATCTCTTAGTTTTCACTCATTTTTCAACTACTGAAAAAAAACAGCAATAATTCTGTCAGAAAGGACTCCGAGAGACCACAACAGGGCACAATGTTTTTACACAAGAACGTCAGCAGTGCCAGATTGGCTCAGACCAATGGTGCATCTAGCCCAGTATCCTGTCTCCAACAGTGGCAGGACTAGATACTAGAGAAAGAGCATTGAATTGGACAGATCTAGAGTGATCTCTCCCTTATTACTCTCCCTGGCATCCACGATTATTGGATGAGAGATGCCAAAGGAAACATCTCCACCCGTTTTGCTGAATAGCCAATAATAGATTGACCATGCACGAATCTCTGAAGTCTCATAGTGTTTCTATCACTGTGGATTCCTATTTGGAATCTCCAGAATTATCTCGTGGATCATGTTTGCACACCTAATAATGCCAGCACTCCACAGCACCCTTGAAGGGATCTCAGGACACCTGAGGGTGCCACAGCACCCTGGCTGAGAATCACTCAACTAATGCATCTACTCATGGGAAAAAGCACATTCCCAGTAAATGACCCTGTTTCTCATCTCCCCAGCATATGGAAATGTTTAGCTAGGACCCAGAGAAGGTCTAGAAGTTACAGAAGAAAGCACAGGTTGCAGACGAGCAGTGGAGAAGACATTCTGGAGAGTGCCTACCACATTCTTGGAGCAGCTGACCAGGTATGGCTGGTCCAATGAGTAAGGGTGACTGTGGGCTACACAGACATCAGCAGATAAATAGCGCATATCTGGATATTCATAACCTTTTTGTACAGGGTTCCACAAGATCCAACACAGAGAATATTCCATGGACACTACTGGGCCCTTCCACAGCATCACCAAGAGAGCAATCAGGCCAGGCTCGGCTCCAATACTCTCCAGGCTGCACTGCCAGGTCCTCTGTCCTCTGGAGACTGCCTGTTCTCAGGGTCCCATCAGCCCCTGGAAAAACAGAGAAGCCCTCTCCAAGCTGAGACTTTATTGAATTCCCACAAACACTCAGGAAGATTAGCTTTGTTATTTACACAAGGAAAACCATTTTGCATGAGCTGCTGAAGCCAGCAGGAGCATTGCAGTTCGCTCACTCCAGAGCACAGTTGAACACGGTAGCCTTGTTCTCAACAGACTGAACAGCACATGCCTTAGAGAAAGCAGCAGCCTAGGTCAAAGGGTGCATGGCTGCGCTCTCTAGGGGTGAGCCCAATCGCTGCCGCACTGAAATGGCTGAGCAGGTCACATGGCTCTTCTGATGACAGTCGCAGCTGTCTGTCCCCACCCAGCACCCTGAGAAACTTCACACGTGGATTTGGCCTTGTCAGCTCAAGACAAGTCTCATATACAGTTGTCCTGATGCCCCTCCTGGGATAAGGCTTTGACCTCCAATCTCAGGCCGTCCTGTCAAGCAGCTCCATTAGCTTTTTCCTGGTGACTTCATATGCAAGGAAGAGAGCTCCGTTGGAAGGGACTGCACGTATCACTGTGGGCATCAGTCCGCAGTAAAGAGGCACAAAACCTACAACACCAATGTCACAGTCACAAGAGTGCTCTATCCTCAGGCTGGGCAAACAGAGCTTCTGGTAAGGAGCTGGCCATGGCCCAAGACAGGAGACTCCACCACAGGGCCACTAGAGACCTCCTCCTAGCTGTCCTCGAAGGGACTCCCACACAGGAGCCCTGGAAGTGGACTTGGGGACTGTGGCTGCCGGGGTCACTCACCTTCTGTCCTCAAAATGTGCAGTAAGGAGAGCAAGAAGCCATCCTGCCGCCCCGCCATGGACAGCACCTGGATCCGCGACTTCACCGAGTCGATGGGATAAACAGCCAGCCAGAAACAGGCGCCCCCAACCCCGCCACTCACTGTGAGAGGGATGGGACCTGAAACCCAACAGAGGGACAGGCCTCAGTGTGAAGATGAAGAAATCCACCAGGAAACTGGCCCGTGTCACCAGGAGTCACACCCCAGCTCTTGCACAAGAAACAACCTTTCCTTTAAGGTAAGGGAAGCAGTAATTAATCTCCTTGTTAGAGCGAGGTAGCTGAAACAAGAGAAGCCATCACCCAAGGCACAGGGTTGCATGAGAGGTCCCAAGCAAGAACAAACTAAGGGAACAAAAGCAGGGACTTCCTGAGCTAGTCTGAAAGCCAGGCCCTGGGGCACTGGGCAGTGGAACAGTGCAAGCCAAAGGAAGAAATCTGGAGAAGTGCTCATAGCATGGCCCCAAGGCACCCAGGCAGAGCTCCTGGAGCATAGGGCAGCTGGCTGGAGAACAGGTTCACATTTCAGACCAGAGAAACCTGCATGCTTTCTTTGTAAGAAAAAGGTCTGCCCCAAGAAAGAAAGAAATAACTAACTCATAATTAATTTTTCCATCTCCTAGAGCAAGGCCCCAAATGCTGGCCAGCTGCCAAGGGGTGACCTTCTAAATAATAAAGACCCTGGAATGAAGGGGGATGGAGCCCAAGACTGACACAAAATAGTCACCCCAGACACTTCCTTTCTTCCTCCAAGTGATCTGGCATTCCCTTCCTGGACCCAGGGTCTCTGCTTGGTCCAACCTGCTGTTCTTGTCCTAACCCACGAGGTGCTGCTGCTTCCATCACCATTTGCAGCTCATGGCTTGAGCATATGTTCTCGTCCCTCTCACCCCTTTGGCAGAGATCCCAGTGACTGGGACTAACACTGGCTCACTACATCTTTGTGAAGGCAACCGAATGGCCCAGCTCCTTCCACTCTCCTGATTCCCTACAGAGCACCTGGAGGGCAGATCTCCCTATGTCCCCTGTCCCCAGTGCTGTTTACCCAGATCTTCCTTGACCTTCCCAGCCTGAGTGAAGAAACTTCTACTGACTTCATAGCCGCCAAAGAAGAAGAAGTAGCCAGGTACCTCCCGCAGCCATGTACTGGTCAGGCCCTGGAAAAAGCCCAGCAGGCCCTCGGAGTGAAAGATGGCTTTCACCACAGCCCAGGTCGAGCTGCAAGAGAGAACGAGAGCAAGCCATCTGAGAGAGAAGCCACCAATGCCAAGCTGTGCACATGACCTGGCCCAGCATGGCACTCTGTAGCTCTGAACTCTGGATGGGTCTGGTGCCCAGCACTGACTGGACTTGCTTCAAGCAAACCAAACCCCCCGTCCCCTTCCCATGGACCTGCAAATGGTCCTCCCAACCTATTCCTTGGACACATGGACAAAAACCAGACTGAAGAGCAAGGGAGCCAGGGAATTGTAGCACCAGTGCTCTGTGCTGCAACATGGGAGCTACTCGTGACCCTTGCCACAGTACAGCATGCCCAGGAAAGGAGAAGGCTGCCTGTTCAGTGTCCAGAAAGGCTAGGGTTAGATGGTCTCATGTAGACCCACAGTGCTTCCAGCCCGGCCAGGAAGGATGAAAGCCAGGTGCAGGGCCCTGGCCAGGAGACACCCTTCGAAAGGCCATGTCTGCACTGCCTTTGTTGAGCACGCTATGATTCAGCAGAGGGGAAGCATCCTGGATGCTGCTCTCCCAGCCAGAAGGGCCTGTGACCCTCTGCTTGTCTGTAAACACATCCACCCACTTCCCCAGGGGAGGCTGGATTTGTACCTGTGACAGGATATCGCTGCCCGCCCAGTTACTTTCATCTCATGCAAAGCCTGCATGCGGCACTTCACCAGCTCAGTGGGGCACAGGACCATGGAGGAAAAGACAGAGGAGAAGGAACCAGCCAGCGCACTGTGCAGGTCACTGACATGAGAGGACACGGAACACACATATAGTGGAAGGAGCTCACCTCCTGCAGCATCCACCCTACAGGAGGTATGGGGCTTCATCACGCCCACCTGAGGAGGAGACTGGAGGGCCCCACATTGCCCACTGCAAAAGGCCACTCACCAAAGGAGTAACCAAGTCACAAACCTCCCAAAATGGAGGCATCCCAACCAGCCCCTGAGTGCCTGTTCCATCACCCCACAGACCCCTGACTGCGGTGTGCCCCACGCCCAAGAGCCCTGGGAGACACGCATACCTCAGCTCCTGCACGCTGCCCAAGCCAAAGAGCTGCCTGACCAGCTGCTGGCAGAACCCATAGCAAGCAAACAGCACGGCGTTCTCTGCCACATTGGCCAGCAGGGCTGGCAGGGTCCCCTGGTACAGCCCGCGGAGCCCCTCCTGCTGGTACGTCCTGATCGAGCAGTCAAAGAAGCCCTGGTACATGGTGGGGAAGGTCTGCATCTTCACCTTGATTGTGTCAAAAGGCTGCCCGCTCACCACACATGCCACACCCCCTGCAGAGAGACACCCCTCAGTGCTCGCCGTGTACTCCCAGCACCTCAGCAGTGTTGCCAAGTCCACTTATAATAAGCGGAATTGGGCTTGTTTTTTTAAGTCGCTTTTATTTTTTGAGTCGTGGGTTGATAAGCAGCCCCCCACTCCCCTCTCTGAAATGGGTTGGGCTTGTTTTTAAAGGCAGTGCCACTTTTCTTTCTTGCGAGATTTGGCAACACTGCTCCTCAGTGCCAGCCACTCAACCCACAGTGCCCAGTCCCAGCCCCTCAGTGTTGCCCACTCAACCCACCCGTCCCAGCCCCTCCGTACTGGCCATTCATCCCACAGGGCCCAATCCCAGCCCCTCAGTGCCAGTCACTTGCACCATAGGGCCCAGGCCCAAAATACCAACCCCATCGCATGATGAATCTCAGCCCTGGCCCCTCAGCGCCAGCCACTTGCCCAATCCCAGCCATTCACACAACACATCCCAGCCCCAGCCCCTCAGTACCAGCCACTCGCCCGACACATCCCAGCCCCAGCTCCTCAGTGCTGGCCACACGTCAGGCCCCAGACCCCCAGTGCTCAGGTCCTGTGTGTGAGCCTCCATCGTCCCCGCCCCACCTGAGGAGCTCAGTCTGCTCCTGAGCCTGGGCCTGCCTCCTCTCTGGGGAGTCGGGTTCAATCCCTGCTGCCTACAGCTCATGGTCCGTTCTCTGGGGCTTGGCCATGCACTGGTCTTAGAGCTCCCCTGGTCTTAGAGCTCCCGCTCTCCCCTGGCCATTCTGGGGAGTCCTGACAAGCTCCCAGGTGGTTCTCCTGACCGCCCCCACCTTCCAAGACGGGTCCCCGTGGCCCACACTTACCTGCTGCCCCTGCAGCGAGGTGAATGAGTGCCTGCACCAGTGGGTGGTACTTGGCTTCTCCTGCAGACATCGCAGCAAATGGGGCCACGCTGAGCCCTGGGGCAGGAGCTAGGCTGGAAATCAAAGATACTGGCAGCTCAATGGAGCATGGAGAGGTTGGTCTGAGACAGCAGAAGAAGGGAGCACCATGAACACCGTGCTGTAGATCCCTCCCTGTGGCTGGTGTTCTAGGTCCCCTTGAAGTTAGAAGGGGAAGGTTTCCCCATAACAGGTGTAATAGTCAGCACCTGTAAGTGGCAAGGTTTGGGAAGACACTAGGGTACAGTGAGATGGAGGGCACTGGGGGCAGAGGGATTTGGGAAAAGCTGTAGGGAGCTGGAAGCTGTAATGGATAGGGGAAAGGTTGTGGGGGTGCAAATCGGGCTGGACAGGCAGGACAGGGGTCACATGGAACAGGGCAAAAGGGGCTATTTCTGGGGTCAGGAGTAGAGACACTTGGGCAGGTGTGAAGATCTGGAATGGGAGATATGGAGAGTGGTCCTGTTCAGTTCTGTCCACGGTGGATTGCGGCTGGAGCAGCAGCACAGGCAAGGGAAGAAACACCTTAGCTGGGCTCAGGCCATGTTCAACACTGCCAGGACACTACTCCTCCCTGGAGCAGGCTGATGGGCTAGGATCATGGGCAGTACTGGGACAGTGGAAGCACTAGGGTGTGGGGTACAGGAAGACAGTGCTAGGAGCTGAGGTTT